CTTATCGATATACATAGTGAAGTAAATTTAAATGAAATAGTCAAGATCTTTCTTTCAGCGATCCAATCCTGAAAGCAGACGAAGCTGGCAACACCTCTGCAACAATTAGGCTGGATTACAGGCTGCTGGATGGAAATCAAAGCTGTCATCAACGTAAAAAGAGTTTTATTGTCCTATGTTCTTCTTCTCGCATAAATTCCTTAGTTGAATGGAGCATATGTTTGTTATCGTAAACAACATACGTTGTCCTACTTCAAGGTTTGAGCAAATTATTTTGTTTGCGTAAAATGTTTCCTTTAAATAAAACGCCTCAACTTAAAAATTGTTCGTGGATATGGGGACAAAAATGCGTTTGGGATTATTGAGACAGACTTATATACTCTGGACTTTGTTTGGCCTTGATTTGGTAACCTGGGGATTATTTCGAATAACTTATGCCTTCTTTTAGATATTAGTCAGTGCCCGGAGACATTTGTTCACTTTTAGTGCAGATTATCGTCCTCATTATCTATACGAAAAGACAAGACGTCAAGACTAAATTTGAACCCTGCCTGCCTCAAAAGGTGACCCCTCGATATATGAGTAGGCAGAAGATATTCCGATATTTAGAATATTCAAAGCGGATCTCCAACCCCTGCTGAAATGGGGAGTAAACCCAATTATTGGTGGCTCTTTTCGCCACATAATGCATGTACGATGGCTTGGCATTGTTGAGCAGAAGCAATTAAAAAACTTTTATTGTAGCTACATATCTATCCAAGACAAATAGCTTCCACGCGTTTGCTTTACCTGTCAGAGACAAGCACTTGACCCAGTCGTTGACTCCTTACTTCATTACAATTAGAGCCAGCATCACTCATTGCAACAACATTATATAAATGAAGCTTCCTGTCAGAAATGCGTGTTCATGGATTGTAGCTCTTAGCTGACGAAACCACCAGGAATATTTCTCAAGCAAAAGAATAATTAGTTGAATTAAGTACAAGTGATGGGTTTGCTTGAATAAGAACTGGCCTAAAATCCTACTCATTACGAATCCCTAAAAGAAGTTTTTTTCAAATATTTTAAGCAATGTAAACTAATAGAGAGTATTGTTGTTGAGACTTTCATTTCACATGAAGGTGCATAATAAAGAGATTCGTAGGTCAATCTCACCAAAAGACGACGTATGATTCCCGTTGTACTGCTGCCGTTTGGCTTTAATACGACGTTAAGATTGACGCAGTGTTCGTCAAGAGGACTTATCAGCTTTGTCCTACATGATACATTTACTTATACAGAGAATAATGAGTCCCAAATTTGATGGATCTTATCATATGACGAACCAAAACTCAGCCCGTTTTTACCCAAAACGAGGGAAGATGTCTCGTGGATGACGTCCTTCTAAATATCATAGTCAAGCCAAGTGGCTGTAGTACAACGAGAATCAGCAGTCGTCTTCCCGTGAGATGGACCTATGAATATCTGTACTTTCGCTTGCCTATGAACTGATGGTCTCCACAATAATACTCCTAATTGGTTTACATTGAATAAAATAATCGAAGAAAAATTTCAGAAAACTAATCGAATCTATCTGTTTCTTCGTATTTACAATAAGGAGTAGATTTAGACAATCATTACTCCTTGATTATATTCAATGTCCACCCCACTGGCTCCTGGAATCACACCCCAACTAACTCTCAATCTTTTGACCTAGGCCTGACAATGTAACGCAATTCGACTGCGAAACGGCGCGTAAGTGGGTCTTGCTAGCTCAACAGAATGCTTGTGTTACTAGTACAGGTGAACGTTTATGGGCCTCTAATTCACTAGTTGCCAAGTTAGAGTGGTAACTAGTCCCTTGGTCTCTAGGCTTCAACTGCGGAAATGTGCAGATATGAGAGTTGAATTCCAGAGTCAGCCCTCTTCTCTGTCTTCAACTGTGTCTATTATACAAGTTCTCGTGCTTTCGTGTTTTTTTTTCTCTGTTCGTATCTTAGAAAACATGTAGGCCAAAAAACAGTTCTGCCTAACCTTGATCTGGGTCTGATTTCGTCATATCCCAGGCTATGGGAAACTAAATCCTCGCATTCTCCGCTCGTGTACAGCCTGGATGTTCATTAGATTGACCTCCTGATTCCCAAAGCAGCATGTGCTTCGAAAGATGCAATGTTTGTTTGGTTGTGCTTGCAAATTTTGTTATCTCTATGTGCGGCATAGTGCTTATCAGCCTCTCCAGCTCTCCACTGTCCGAACGCGGATGGTTCCTCACTTGGCTCATCGGCCGCGCCACCTTTCGGCAGCGCGAATTGGTTCGTTTGATGCTGTGGCCAGACTCGACCTTATCGTCAACCTCCTCCACACGCCCTTTTGCAACCTCTAATTCTTCTGACGGCCTCACTCTTGCTCTCCTCACCGTGGTCCCGTCATCGGAAGCTGTGGAACAAGATGGCAAGGAAGACTCTCTCCTCTTTACACTTGATCGCACGATCTCGAAATTGATCTTTGCAGCAGGTTTTGTGCTGATGCTGGTTGCAATTGTTGGTCTACTCAGCTTCTGTATGGGGAGCTACCGACTCCTGCTCGTCTACGTCCTCCTCCTCCTGGCCGTCGGGATTGTGTCTTCCATCTTGATTGGCCTCTTCTACACCAACCAGGAGGTGGTACGTCGCCATTTCACCGTAAGAATGCACCAAAAGGTGCAAAGTCAATACACATGGCACCGGAACCATATACCCTACCGGGTTGAACCAGGATTCGTCCGACTCTGGGACAGGGTGCAGAGTGGCTACCGATGCTGCGGCATCTTCAACCACACAGAGTACAGTCTCCTGCCCCGTACGGAGCCAGCGAAGGACTTGGCCGTGGGCGAAAGGGAGGACGAGGTCCAACCGCCCGATGAGATGGTCACAATGCCGATGCTGGCGTACATGTGGTCGAAGGAGGAGGTGGCGGTTGCGGCCAACGGCTCTGTGTTGTCACAGGCCTGCTGTAGGCACTTGTACGACCTGACCTGCTGGACGAAACCGGACGCCCACAACAGTTGGATAGCGCATGGGTGCGCTGATCAAATTTGGCGCTTGATTGAGAAAAGTCACTTTGACATCAGGAGCCTGTTCATCCTCCTCGAGATGGGCTTGATATGGCTTATCATACTCACTCTGATCACCTTGAGACATTCTTCACAATGCAATGTCATGTGCTGAAGCGAAAGAGACAAGCCAGGGTCAGCCGGCCAACATGGCATACAGACGATGTGACAAACACACAAAAAGACCGAATTTGATAACATCCCTTACCCTAGACCACCGGGAAATATCAATTCAAGAAAGGGAGTGTAGTTTTTTCCTTTACTTTTCGCCATAGTTGGGATCACTTAGGCAATAAGACTTATATTTGCTGCTAATCTATGCAAGAAGGCTGAAAACTCCTTTCATATCAGTTCAGTCTCACTATACCCTATACCCCAACAAATATGTTAGCATAAGAAGGGTGAAAACCACTGGCTAAGCTGCTTTCCATACAAGTTTTGTAACTTCCTGCTGGTGTCATTCTTTATTAGTTTGTAAAGGTAAGTGGATATGCATGGCCATAAGAAGCCTGTGACTAACCGATTCAGAGTTCTGAAAAATCTGACGCAGATATTTCTTGTAAACGCATAACTAGAAGGAACATCATAACGCAAAATACGGATCAAGAAATGAACAGATAATAGGATGGAGACTATGAAAGGAAAACAAATGAAAAAGAGGGCATACGATTGATATTCGTAAGTAAGTAGGGTTTCGAGACTACCAGTAAATCAGTGTAATGAGATGTATTCACCCTATTT